CAGCTGAATCCCGACCGGCTCTCTCGGCGAAGACCTAATGGCGGCGCTGACGAGCCACTTCCGGCGTAAAGTCCGTGAGCCGCAGCCCGACTTCCGGCACCGCCTCCTCCCCGCGGTTCCCCGCGCTGGATTCCCCATAAGCCAACGGCCGTGAGTTCTGTGCAGGTTTTCCCCCTTTTATCGTTCACTGAAGTTGCAGCCTCGATTGTTTTCATTCTTTTCGCTTGTGCTTCATCGCTTTTCCTACCGTCGTTGTGTAGAAGGGCTTTGGAGACAGACATCCCATTCCAGCCTTCGGTCTGCCACTAACTGGTATTTGCTTCTCTGAACCTCACGTTGCTTGTCTGGAAAACGGGAATGAAAATGCTTACCTCGGAAGGTCGTTTTAAGGTTTAAAGAAGTAAATCACCTAGCCCAGTGCTTGACACAGCCTGGTGGTAGCTAATCAGTTGTTGCCATGTTGTCACAATTTTATCTTCACATTCACAGTATTAGTGATAGAGGTTAAGCTAAAGGCTCCAGACAGCTGAAACTGCGAGTCCAGAAGCGAGCACAGTTTTGATTCCTAATGAAACTACATTATTGTAGTCCACTTTTGCCTTAGGGATTTGTGTAAATATTTAACCTATTTTAAGACTCACCTCTTGAGAGAGCCTGATTTTGAAGAGACGTGGCATGTTCCTTAGCATTTTGTAATATTCTAATTGTTTATTCAGTTATTTAGTTCATCTCTCCTCCCATTAGAATTAAACTCCATGAGGACAAGAATTTTGTTTTTTTAATTGCTCTATCCCAGCACTTAGGTCTGGCACATAGGTGCTCAATAAGTTTTGGGTTTTGTTTTTTTTAAGATTTTATTGGGGGAGAGGAACAGACAAGTTGCTGTGCTTTTGTTCTTCAGTCTAGTTGTGGAGGACGTAGCTTCACTGGCCCATGTTGGCATTATCATTGCGCTCTTCCTGAGGCAGATCGGTCGCCAGCCGTTGGAGGGCCGCTCATGGCAGCCCACTGCAGCCTACAGCATCTCCTGCGACTCACAGCAGCCCAGCTCCAGGTTGAACTGCTGTTTACCGTCTTAGCTGTAGAGGGCACAGCGTCACTGACCCGCATGTGGGATCTGAACCAGGGTCCTGATGCTCAGAGCTGGCTTCTCAAGCCAACTCCTAACCAGTGTCATTCAGCTGGACCTCAATAAGTATTTTTGGATGAATGAATGAGTTATAGAGAATGCTAATAGCCTTGAGACTATATTTATGAGACTGTTAACAAGAAGCTTCATTTCCTTTTGTCTTTTATTTATAAAATTTGAGATTATTGGCTTTTCATGTTTATCCTTTCAAAGTCCAACACATTAAAATTAATGTAAATGTTAATCTCTTATGACTTGATGTCCTTCAATTCTTTGGTGTTTATTTGTTGTAATTCCCTGCAGATCTGGGATAGCTCAGCACATAACTTGTGTGTCGCTTGATAAATATGAGTCAAAATAAATCTTTCTCCAACCCAGTCTCATTTCCAGGCTGCAAACTGGTAACTTACGCTTTGTCTCACAAATATCAAATGATAAATTCATATTAAATTTTATATTCTAATCTACTAGCTTAAAAATCAACCTTTAGGTTATTATTCCAAGAACTGTCACTTTTACACCATAACCTCCTAACCACATTACCATGATGAATATCATTATTATTAACTAGGCAGCATAGTTAATCACTTCCACTCTTCCATAAGACTTCTGAGTTTCAAATTCAGTCTCTAAAAGACACTAACTTGGGACTTTGGACAAGTTACTTAGCTTTTCTGTGCCTCAGTCTCCTCATCTGTAAATTAGGATACTACACATGTCTTAAGGTTTTTTTTGTGTGTGTGTGTTTTTCTTTTTCCCACCCCCCCCTTAAGGTTTTTATAAGGATTAAATGAAGAATTATTTAGGGCCGGCCGAGTGGCGCGTTGGTTAAGAGCTGGCTTGGGATGCCGCTCTGAGCAGCAGGGCCTCGGTTTTGTTCCCACATATGAGGGCCAGTGACACTGCCCTCTACAGCTAAGATGATAACAGCTCAACCTGGAGCTGGGCTGCTGTGGGTCGCCGGTGATGGCGTAGGCTGCAGCCCCTGTTGCAGTGGGTTGCCATAAGCTACCATGTATAGCCAGCAGCCAGCAGCCACCATCAGCGGCGGTCCAGAGGCCCGCGACTGATCTGCCTCGCCTGGAAAGAGCGCAATGATGGTGCCAGCTTGGGCCAGTGAAGCAACATCCTCCACAACTAGACTGAAGAACAAAAAACAACAGCAACTTGTCCCCCTTCCCCCGATTCCCCAGCGCTGTTCCCCTCCCCCAATTCCCCAATAAAATCTTTAAAAAAAAAAAGAATTATTTAGATGTTTTAGTATCTGACATGTAGTAGGCACAACATCAGTGTAAGCAATTATTATTCATACATAGCTAATACTTTATTATACTAATTACTACTATCAACATTTCAAAATGAAAGTTAAAACTGGAAAGGTGCATCTGCATTCTCAGAAAATATAACGTGGTTCTCCCTGTTATGCAGGTTTCTAGGTGTAAAAGACTAAATGTTATTCTCACTGTGTCTAGATTTTTCACAGTACTGTAACACCTTTATATAAACTGTCATATTCCTAGAACCAACCTGAATAACAGAATCATACCTTTCAAAACCACTCTAGAACTGATCTCTGGTGAAAAGATGAATTCTTCTGGAAGACAACCTATCCCATTGTCAGTCAGCTTACTTAAAACAAGGCTTCTGAGTTCTGAGGTCTTGCCTGTGTGTAGTAAAGAGCAGAGCCAAGTACTATTTCTTAGGACTCAGGACACAATGTCATCTGGATAGAGGAAGGAATATTTGCTCTGAGAGCCCTGTTGTTATTTTTGTCTGTTCCTTGTAAGTGTGGTGGAATAATACTAACAGATTGCCTCCCACACCCAATATTCTCTTCTCTCAATCTGTTTGCCCATCACTCAACCCCAAAAAGCACCTAGGCATTCTGTGTTCATTGTTTAAGAGAAAGATATGACTGCAAAAAAAGCGAGAGAAATAAAAGAGGCTCTTCCTGCCTTTGGTGTTGCGAAAGGCTTGGCTGTATAAGAACAAAAAAGACTCCTAGCACAGCAAGAGATTTGGACAAAACATCTTTTGTAAAAGCGTAGCTTTCCAGTGGTAGAAAAAATGAAACAAAAACACGTCAGAATGGAAAAGCAACCTTCAGGCTCTGCCTGCTAAACTTATGACTATCTAAGGATAACTGTAAGTTTTCTGATCTGGAACATTGAACCTATGGGAGACAGCAGAGGCCACCAGGGGACAGTAGAATCTCTTGTCACCAGCAGAAATCATCTTACAGGATGGAAATGGTACAGTGGACTTGGTGCCTGAGGACTCCCAAAATGACAAGATTCTTCTTGTAGGAGCTAGAAGCGATATGACAAAATATATTGATTATCAGTTTAGAATAACACCAGGTAAGAGAGGATGTATGTGTGTTCCTTTTCTGAGCAGTAATCATAAGATCAATTTGAACTATTTAGTTGCAAAAGGTGTATTTATCTGATAGAGCAAAGTACAATGATTTGAACCAACAAAACCATTTTTTAAATCCTTAGTATTCCTTCCCTCCAAAGAAAAACATTTACATTGATCTAAATTGGCTCCCTTAAAATAGATTTTATGAGCATCACAAACAAAAATAACTAGCACTCATTGTTCATTGTTATGTGCCAGGCTCTGTGTTAAGTGCTTTATATACTTTATGTTATTTAATCCTCAAAGTAACTGTGACATAGGTAATCTTATTACCCTATTTTACTTATCAGACAAATAAGTGCTAGAGAGATTTGGAAAGTTGCCTGATGAGATTCCAAAGCCATTTCACAATTAGAAAGATAGAACCTAACAATCCACCTTTGAAACTATAAGGTTTAAATATTGTATAAGAAAGCATCATGACATATAGAGGACCCTTGAGCTCCTCATGACATTAACACTGGATTTGTTTTATCCTTACGTAACTTGGCTTTGACCTGGCATCATAAAACAGATTAGGCTTCTATACTTTTTGTAAGCTATTCTGTATCTATAGAATGTGAACCAAGGCAAATAAAACATTTTTCCATTGAAAATGAAAATCATAATAAAATTTTCTCCTAGTCACTTTGCACAGAGGTTAGAGAGTTGGTGACAATCTTTGGCATCTCCATGAATTGCCCTAATATGGGGCAGAGATTGAAGGCAAAAGAAACTAATAGATGTAAGTAGCACACCCTGGTGACTGGCAGGAGGGTTACACTAAGTAAGAGAGAGAGGGTCTGTAAGGGCCAATTGATTGATAGAGACTTTGAGACATTTGAGGACAAACCAATGTAGGATTTTTAGCATGGTTAGCGTTAAAAGATTTGCATTTTAAAAAGACTATTCTGGTTCTAGCATGGAGAACAAAATCAAAGGAAGCCACAATGAATGTGAGGGCGGCTAGCCAGTTACTAGTGGTAACAGATGACTCTAGCTTGTGCTAAAGTGATGATAGTAAAGATGGATAAAAACCAATGAATGAGAAAGGTATATGGAAAGGGTGTATAAAACCAACAGTTCAAGTAGTGGATTGGATATGGGATGTGTCAGAAAGAAGAATGGATGAAGGGTGACACCTGGCTTCCTGGGATACACAGTTGGATGGATGCTGAGGCTATTTAGTGAGGTGAGGAACATGGGAAGAAGATAATATTTCAGTGGAATATCGTAAATTTGGTCTTGGACACACTGAGTTTGAGGTACCTTTGAGACATTCAAGTAGAAATGTTCAGAAGTTAACTGAATATATAATAGGAGAAGTCTAAGATTGAGATAGAAATTTAGGTGTTATTAGTATACACATGATAATTTAATGGGGACAGCAGAGGCCACCAGGGAACAGTAGAGTCTCTGTCGCCAGCAGAAGGTGTGATTGCTGGGGGAGGAGGGTAGAGGGTGAGTAGACCAGAGGTTCTAGGACAGAACCTTGAGGAACTGCAATATTTAAAGGCCAAGCAGAGAAGGATGTGTCTGCTAATGGAGGCAGAGAAGAAGAGTAGAAAGTCAAACCGAGAAGAGAACATAGTATCAGGAATCCACAGAAAGAATGTTTCAAGGAGAATGAAAAACAGGTTGACTGTTAAACCTGGGAGGTTAAGTAAAAAGAGGAAACATCCACTGAATTTGTGACATGGAGGTCTTTGGTGACTTTGCTGAGATATTAATAATCAATGGTATTATATCTATAAGGGAATAATTTGGGATAATTAATGTCAAATTCATAGTTTTAGCATTTATTCCGAAAATTAACATTATTTTAATGTCCTTAAACTTATTGAAAATGATAAGCACAATATGGAGTTCCTGTAAACATGTAAATATCTTTGGAAAAAAGAATTTATTTTCATGGCAAAATCCAGTTCCTTTGGCAGAATGATTTGTAGGAATTAAAAGTAAAAAAACTAACATTACTGAATACCTACTGTGTGCCAGATGCTTTCACATATCTTGTAAGTATCTTCTGTATCCTAATGTCAATGTCAGCTATTCTAGATAAATACTGATAACTGGTGGCAATAGTTTGAAGTTCAAAAATGTGAGTTGGCACATAAAGCTCCTGTTTTCTGTATCACAACCCACCAAAGTTGGTATGTCCAAAACTGAATTCTCATCTCAAGTCCCCACACTCAAATTATACCCTCCTCTTACTTTCTGTATTTTTTTAAAGGTATCATGGACTAGAAATATTTAAGATCTCGCTCAGCAGAAAGCATCTGCCACGCAGTAAGTACTCAGTGATGTTCATTGTCACAATTCGTCAATTCTCCTGTGAGGCCTCTCAAATCCACCTCCCTCCTATTCAGGAGCTTTTGTACTTAATTTAAATAGTCACCAATGGGTCTGCCATCTCTAGTTTTCCCCTAATTTATAAGAAGGACATTAAATACCATGATGGATGGCATTCCTGATAATTCCAAAAACACAGAATGTACTACTCTCCAAGATCTTTTCTTGTATTAACCCTCAAAAATGAACATATCGTTAAGTCATTTTTACAGGTGGCCAGAATAGTGTCTGCCTAGGTGTATAGATTTCTAAAATTCAAATTTGAAGAATGGACATGTTTAGTGAAGCCACAGGGTTTAATGGTTATTATGTTCCTTATGCAATTCCTGCTGACTTTTTACATGTTACCAGCTAAGCTTTTAAGTCTGTATTGTAGCTACATCATTGTGATCACTAGTGACAATGTGAAATGAAGGATTTCTGTGCTATCAATTGAAGATTAATTTAAGTGCCCTGGATACCAGACCAGTGGGCAGTAAAGAAATTTTGTATTTTTGCCTGCAGAATGGAATATCTCACCTAGCTAGGAAGGAAGGTTTCAGACAGGGTTATGACTTTTCTCAAATTGCAACAATGAATCTATTTAAATCCTGGGACTCTGTTGAGAGCCCCAGAAATCTGTACAAAGTATCATCCAAAAAAGTCAACCTTGGCTATAAAAATGGGAAGGTGGTGCTTTGATCCCATTTCAGAGGAGAAAACTGGCTTAGGCTAAAGAACGTACCCCACGGCCAAATTGTCAGAGCTGTTCTTGCTTTTATTGCAGACCATAAAATATGCCCCCTAGGTCACAAAAAACACTGCTCTATTCGTCTACCTGGATGTTTGGGAACAACTGCCAATAACAGCTGTGTTTTTGTCATTAGTGACGTGAGTTGTTGCTTTTCAGAAAAATTAGCCAACAGATTCAGTTGATTCTTGAACATTCCCTTAAAAGTGATCATTGGACCATGCTGTTTGAAGGAGGCTGGCTGTGTGTCCAGATCATAAAAAAATAACAAATCTTTCAAGCTTAAAAATGGAGAATTTAGATTGCAATGATTGATTACACAATTAAATTGGATTTTGATCTAGGAAAACAGAATTCCTATGTATTCAGATTCTTGAGACATGCCAGATATGGACTCTATTCATTTGATTTAGTTTCATATTTAATGAACTCTGTACACATAACAAAGCGATAATATTTGCTGAAGTACTTCCATTAGTAGTATAACATCTCCTGGGAAGAACCGGTCCTTATTCTGCAGACATTACTGAGTACCTAATACATGCCAGGCCTGGCACATAGTTATAAAGGATGAAAAATAGAATTTCTGTTTTTAAGGAGTTCACTGTTTGCTAAAAGAGACAGGTCATTGTGATATATGTGTAAATATGGAGGTAGACTCAAGACACTGGGAAAAAAGTGGGGAGATCTGACTTTGGAGGTCTCTAACAATTTTACAGGACAGATACCGTTTGATCCAAGTCTTCTTAAATTCTGGAGACCACTTTTCTAAACTAGAGATTAGCGTATAGAAGAACACATGTTAATGATATATCATGTCTAAGAAATTAAAATGTAAAACCACAGAAAAGGGAGAAGCCATTATTACCAGTCTGGGGGAGAACAAGATGGAATGTGAATTGTAGAGTATCTGATAAGAGTGAGAAACCTTGGGCCAGCCAAGTGGCTCAGTACTTAAGAGTTAGTTTAAGAATGCGAGCTCTGAGCAACAGGGCCACCAGCTTGATTCCCACATAGGCCCGTGATACTGCGCCCGAGCTGAGCTGCCACTGAGCAGCCAACAAGGTGGCAGGATCACTCAGCTGGTGAGAGCATGTGCTCCTAACAAGACTGCCTGTTCGATGGTGGGCTATGCCCACCTGCAACTAAGACTGAACTAAGTAAGCACCTTGAGCTGAGCTGCCACCCAGATGGCTCAGTGGATAGAGCGTGTGCTCTTAACAACAAGGCTGCTGGTTCGACTCCCACATGGGATGGTGGCTACGCCCACCCGCAACTAAGATTGAACACAACACATTGAGCTTAGGAGCCACGAGCTGCCAATGGGCAGCCAGATGGCAACTAGTGCTCTCTACAACTAAGATTGAAGAACAACGACTTGGCTGGTCCCCTTCCCCAATTTCCTAACACTGTTCCCCTCCCCCAATTCCCCAATGTTTTTAAAAAAAGAGATACCTAGATGCATAGTTTATTGAGAAAAAATGCTTACACAGCTTGATAGTCTAAATATGTATGTCAAATAGCAAAAGAACTCTCCATTTATTCTCAGTTCATCCAAATTTACTCAAAACTCAGAACTATAAGCAAAGCTCAGCTATACATAAATAAATACTTCTAAAGTATGTTCAATATTTTCATTCCTTCTTCAAAATACAGTCATGTTTGAGAGGAGCTTAAATGACACTTGTTATCTACCAAAAACAATTAATCAAAGACTAACTCATGAGAAATTTTCATGTGTATATGGAAAACTTTTCCTTCTCGTCATGTTGTTTGCATAATTAGATTTTTTTAATTACCAGATATTTTAATACTTTATGAGAAATGTAAATGGTAATGGACCCAGATTGTAGGTCTTCATGGGCCAAAAGAAATGACTTTATAATTTATAATAAGAACAATTTTATTGTTTAAAATTACTTATATGTTATAAAATTTGTAGTAATTAGATTTTTAAATAGCGGATTTAAAAAAATTCTCTGGATATCTTTAATGAAAAATAATCAGTTATGTTGAAATTTTAAATAAGCGCTAATATATATTGCATGCTTACTAGGTGTCATGAGTGTTCTGTAAACTTTATATGGATTTATTTTGGAAAAATAAGTTACACTTTCACAAAGTATAATACAAAAGCAAAAAGGATTTATAGTAAAAAGTTTCCTGGCCACTTAGGAAATTCTTAGAAAATTTCCACCAGGCAGTTTCAGCTTTAGAGGAAATCAGTGTTGCCATTTTCTTGAGTGGTTTTTTTAAAAAACATTTCTGTGATTATACAAGCAAATATGTATATGTGTTATGTACTCTCCATCCCCGTTTTTTACAGATGTCCTACAATTGGCTTCTTCTGAGTAACAATGTATCTTGGTAACATCCCATTTAATAACATAAATGTTTTCTTGTTCTTTACCACAGCATGGTGTTTGATAGCATGAGTACATCAAACCAGCCCATTATACGTGGAAATTTAGGTTGTTTCCACTCTTTTCTTTCCATGGTGGTACTATAATAAATACCTGCATACAGTTATCATTTTGTTCATTTACAAGTACATCTGTTTGGTAAATTCCAGCTAGGGGAATTGCTAGTTAAAGGTATGTACTCTTGTAATTTTGTAATTTTGGTAGAAATTGCCAAGCTGTTTTATGTGGTGGTTGTACTAACTTACACTGTCTCCACCATACTCTCACCACCAACTGTATTATTAAACTTTTGATCTTTGCCAATAGAATGGGGGAAAATGCCTTATTTAGGCTTTAAATGGGTTTTCTTATTAATCCCTGTTCAGTAAGTGCTATTGTTATCATTTTATGTATAAGGAAGTTAAAGTTTATAGAAGTTAGATGACTTGCTCAAAGTTACTCAGATAAAAGGTGGAAGAATCAAGATTAAACTCCACCCTGTCTGCATTTTGAACAAAACCCCTAACGATTGTGTCATACAGTATTTCCATTAAGGAACACAGCCAAATAACCTTAAAACTGAAATTATATTTCTCATAATTATTTTCGACAATTCAGAACTTAATTCAAAAGGTATAGCAGACTTTGCAGTATCTTAATGTTAGCATTATTAATATAATTTCACTGAACAACAGATGTGTGTCCTAGTTTAAAAAGCATCCTAGTAGATAGTGCCAGGTGAACCAGCTTTAATGGTCTCATATAACATCACCATCTCTGAAAAGTTTCATCCCATCACCAAAGCTTTGGCCCTCGTAATCCATACCCAGTGGCCTGGTTTCACAGCTAATTGAGCTCTGAGGGGTGAACTTACACTAACTGAAATAAAACTTCACTAAGCCTGGAATGCAGAGGTCACAATAACATGCGAAATCTAAAAGATAACATGAGGATTACAAAGTCACTTTTCTTCTCTCTGGTTCAGAAGATTTGTGAATATGAAATTCTGGTCTTCCTCACATGTTGATGGACTAAGTCCGCAAAACAAACAACCAAAAACCATCTGACTATTCCCTGCCGCCTTTGTCATTATTGGAGAGAATGTGCGTGGGCTGAAGGAACTAACCCTATGAGAATCATGTGCTCACACCATTTCAAGCTACAAGTTGAAGGCATTATGTGTGCATTTTCTGGGTGTGGGCTTTCAGCATGTTACAGGTTCGACTTGTTTGCAGCTCTCAGTGGCATGTTTGAGGCCCCTGCCAGCCAGGAGATGTTTCACAAAAAGAAAACACTGTGACCTCAACCTAAGCTCACACCCATTAAAGTCTGCCCAAGAATCTCCTGGGTGGCACTTCACGTTAATAGAAAAAACATGGAGCATTTGATAAATGGTGTTGGAACAAATGGGTGGCCACCTGGAAAAACGATAAAGTTGGGAGTATGCCTCACATCTTGTACCAAAATGAATTTCAGATGGATAAAAGATTTAAATGTTAAAGAAAAAGGAGGTATGATTTTAAAAAATTTATCTCAAGTGAGAGAGGCCTTATATAGCATGACACAAATAGTCAGAATCCATAAAAGGAAATATCAATGAGTTAATAAGACTTGCAAATTTAAAAAATTCTTTATAAGGAAAACCCACCATAAATAAAGTCAGACAAATGCCAAACTGGGAAATTTTTATTCCAACTCATATCACAGACCAAGTACTCATTTCCACAATGAACAAAGAGTTCCTTCAAATAAATAAGAAAAAGAACAACCTCTTTAGAGAAATGGACAAAGGATGTGTACTTACAGTTTTCAGAAATGGAAATACAAATGACCTTAAACTAATGTTCAAACTCCCTCAAAAAAAAAAGACATGCACATTAAAAATACACTGTCAAAAATTCAAGTTATTACTAGCCTCAATTTGCCAGGCTATGGGGGAAAATTGTATATTCATACATTATTGGTGAAAATAATTTGGTAACGTTTTCATTTTTATCAAAAACATGCTTTTGCACTTTGACCTATCAATTCTACTTCTAGGGGAGTGTAGTCTTAAAGATGGGGGTCAGGAAAGGAGTCACTGAAATGGCAAGACCTGAAGGAGAGCAAGGAGCGAGCTGTGCCGATACTGTGGGAAGAACATCTCAGGCAGAACACCAGACACTAAGGTGAGTGGAAAGAGCACAGGCATGTGATAGAAACAGCAAGAGGGCCAGTGTGGCCAGAGTGGAGTAAGTAAGGGGGTGGATATTGGGAGATTATCAGAAAAGTATTGGTGGAGCAGGACCTGGAGGGTCT